GAACTTAAAACGGATATTCATGTTTTGGACGCAAAAATGACCGAGATCCAAGCCTCTATCGCGAATAATGAAAGGAGAATTCAAGATCTAGAACAGAGGATGGAACAAAGCGAGAAAAAATTAGAGATGGTGGACCGAACATATGCGATACAAAACAAAGGAACTGAAGAGTCCCTGCTACAGCTGGAAATGGATAAGGCTTCATACTACATTCGCCTCCAAAACATCTGCGAAGAGAAGGAAGAGGACTTAAGTGATAAAATAGCCGGGCTGATAGCAGATGTCCTTCAGCAGGACAAACAAGATATTATTAAAGAACTTGATGAGGTCTATAGGGTTCAAACGAACTATGTTAGAAGAAACAGACTTCCCAGGGAGGTCCACGTGAAGTTCGCCAGGAAGAAAGTGAGGAATATTCTCCTTAATATAGCGAGAGAAGAAAAGATCGAATTCCAAGGAAAGGAGGTGAATATCCTGAAACAGATACCTAGAAGAGTGAGGGAAGTGAGGAAAAACTATAGGTTCCTGGCGAGCCACTTGAACAGAAGGAATGTCATATTTCGATGGATCCTGCCAGAGGGGATGATAGTATCATGGCAAGGAAGAAAAGTTAAAATCGATAGCCTATCCGAAGCACAAGACTTCCTAGACCAAATAAGAGGAGGGGAAGAAGAACAGATTAGTAAAGAAGAGATCGATACGGTAAACACGGAAGAAGAAACCTCACAAGAGCAAATTACAAAAGAAGATATAGAGGAGGAGAAGAAAAAAGAAGAAGCGGAAGGACAAGGAAAAAAGACCAGACCAGTAAGAGCAGTAACGCTAAAGACAAATAAGAACTAGAACCCGGACACAACATAAGTAATGGATGGCCTAAAAATCTTATCCTTAAATGTCAACGGCTTGAATGACCATAAAAAAAGAAAGATAATCCTATCAAAATTGGCAAAACAGAATCCAGATATAATTTGTTTACAGGAGGTCCACATAAAAGAAGATGAGGCAAATTGCTTAGAATTTATTAAATTTGGCAAACTATTTGTGTCATTAGCGGAGAAAAAGAAAAGGGGTGTGGCGATTTATGTGAAAAAGGGAATCGAGGCAGAATTAAAGTATAAAGATACTAAAGGGAGAATTTTAATGGTAGAAATTAGGAGAGCCAATGCAAAAAATGATGTTGGTGGGAGTATACGCTCCAAATGAGAAACAGGGACAATTTTATAAAAAACTACACGAACAATTAGGGAGTTGGGCCCATGCGGAAATATGTATGCTAGGCGATTTTAACGGAATTGTTAATCCACTGAAAGATTATAAAAGTGGGGAGAGAAAAAGAAATAAAAGATTACATCTGCCAAAAAGCTTCTTTGAACTTGTCGATGAAATCAATTTAATTGATATATGGCGTACTTTACATCCTCACGATTCCCAATATACTTTTTTCTCAAACCCACAGAATTCTTGGTCTAGAATTGACATGGTATGGACTACTAGAAAATTAGGTTTAGAAATTAAGAAAGCGGATATAAGTATAAATACCTGGACAGACCATAAACTTCTTGAAATACATTGGCACTACGTTAACAAGAGAAGACAACAAAGATGGAGTCTAAGGTCCAACCTCTTGAACGAAAAAGAGTTTATAATAAAATTAAATGAAGAAATTAAACGCTTCTTTATTGAGAACGGCAAGCAAGGTACGGCGAAGGAAATTGTATGGGATACCATGAAAGCGTATCTGAGAGGAGTAGTGATATCGTATACGGCGTTCAAAAATAAGGAAGAAAGAAAAGTTAGAGACGATTATAATAAGAATCTAGAGGAAGCAGATAGCAAACTACAACAAAACCCGGGAGACGAGATGGCCAAACAAAAATGGATGATGGCAAGACATAACCTTAACATCCTGGATCAGAAAGAGTTGGCACAAAAAATTAAGAGGATAAAACACTATCATTTTGAGAATGCCAACAAGTCAGGAAGATGGCTGGCATATAGATTAAAAAAAGAACAGGAAAAAAATCAAATTCTTATACTAGAAGACATCAATGGGGACACTTTGACAAAAGAAGTGGATAAGTTAGAAAGAGCGAGAGAATTTTATGAAGCCTTATATAAAGAGGAAGCGACTGACCCAGAGAAAATTGTACAATACTTGATGGAAGCTAACTTGCCACAGATAGCAGAAGAAGACAGGGAAATGTTAAATAATAAAATCACAATGGAAGAACTCAAATTTGCGCTTGCCAAAATAAAGAAGAATAAAACACCAGGTCCAGACGGCCTCCCGGGGGAAATCTATGCAAAATTCGAGGAAGAATTACTATCAGAATTGTTAGATATATTTAATGAGGTACTAGTTGGTACAAGAATCCCAGATTCCTGGAAAGAAACCTATATCACCCTCATATTGAAAGAAGGTGCTGATCCAAAACAGATAGCAAATTATAGGCCGATTTCTCTGTTAAATTCAGATTACAAATTATTTACCAGTATAATTGCGGAGAGACTAAAAAAAATTCTAAATGGCTGGATTCATAGTGATCAGAAAGGATTCCTCCCAGGGAGGCAATTGAGGGATAACGTGAGGACAGTAATAAATGTTATAGAATACTATGAACAACACCCGGAAAAACAGCTGGCGTTAGCGTTTTTGGACGCCCAAAAGGCGTTCGACAATCTAAACTGGAAATTCATGATTAACCAAATTGATTTGATGGGATTCGGCACAAATTTTAGAAAGATGATCGAAAATATATATTATAAACAGAGAGCAAGCATATTAATAAATGGGGATAAGACACGGACATTCTGGATACAAAAGGGAGTTAGACAGGGATGCCCCCTGTCCCCTTTACTTTTTATAATGGCGCTGGAAATTCTACTAAGAAAGATTAGAGACAACAAAGAAATTAAAGGATTACAAATTAAGGAAGAAATTTTTAAAATACAAGCGTTCGCGGATGACGTGGCCTTAATAATGGAAGATCCCTTGAAATCTGGTCCCAAGGTACTCCAGGAAATACAACAGTATGGTGAAGTCGCTGGCTTTAAGCTTAACAAAACTAAAACTAAAATCTTAGTAAGAAATATGGCGGAGATAAATAAGAAGCGGCTAGAAAAGTCCCTGGAACTTCAAATAGCAAAGAAAATAAAATATTTGGGAATCTGGATCACTGTAAGGTATTCCTCCTTAAAAGAGGACAATTATAGTCCATTACTACAAAAAATAAAGCAGGACATAGATAGATGGAAGAAACTAAAACTATCCCTTACAGGTAAGATTTCAGCAATTAAAATGAATATTCTCCCCAAAATCATATTTCTATTTCAAACCATTCTGGTGAACCTGGATAAAAAATATTTCCTAGATTTGGAAAAGAAGGTGCGAGACTTTCTGTGGGAAGGGAAGAAGGCAAGAATTGCATATAAAACACTGCAGTTTGGGCGGTTTCGGATTACCGGATTGGCAAATTTACCAGCGGCTAAATTAGTATGGATCAAAGAATGGGTCACATTACAAAATAAGAGAATCCTGACGCTAGAAGGCCACGATCTACAGGCAGGCTGGCACGCTTATTTATGGGGCCCAAAGAACAAAAAGAAATCACATTTCCACAGACACAAATTAAGGGAGACTCTGATCCAAACATGGGAAGAAATTAGACAAAGATTTTATACGAAAATACCGATTTGGCTCTCAATTATGGAGGCGTTGATTGCTACTAATAAAAGGGATATTGGGAAATTTGGCACATATAAAGACATATTAGATGGAAATGGTATTCTTAGATCACGAGAAACACTAAATAACCAAGGTTTTAATTTGGACTGGTGGAGTTACACACAGATAAGTTCTAGATATCAAAAAGATAGGGATCAATTTGGTATAGAGACGAAGTACAACAATCTAGATAAAATTATGTTGGGGATTGAAAAGAAAATGCTAGCCAGATTTTATAACCTCTTATTAGGCGAAGACAGAGCAGAAGGGATAGCTAGGAATCAACTAAGCATTTGGGAAAAAAATATTGGCCACAGACTAAATTTCAATGACTGGGAGGAGGCTTGGAATAGAAATTATAACTCTACTAAATCAGCAACTTATAGGGAGAACCACTACAAAATATTTCACAGATGGTATCTAGCCCCAGCTAGATTAGCAAAAATATTTCCTAACGCCTCAGGAATTTGTTGGAAGTGTGGAAAGGAGGTTGGCACCTTCTTTCATATGTGGTAGTCCTGCTCAGAGACAAAAAAGTTCTGGACAAAAATATGAACTTGGCTGCGGGAAATAGTGGAAGAAGATATAAAATTATCTCCAGAAATTTTCTTACTAGGAATGATGGGAGATGGACTCTCTAAGGACAAGACACAATTGATTACACATATTATAACAGCGGCCAGATTAACTTTCGCAAAATACTGGAAAGATAAACAAATATCTCCAGAGATGACAATAATAAATAAAATTTTGGAATGTGCAGAAATGGCAAAATTAACCAGTATGCTTAAAGATGATGAGAATTCAAAATTTAAGGCAGTATGGGAAAGGTGGTATAAATGGTGGAATAATAGAACAAGACTATAAGGATATGCCTATTTCTAATAATGATAGATTTGAAGATACTTGTTGTGTATATACTGTATATATGTAATCGCACGATATCTCAGATGTTACCTGAGATTTGATATTTTCTTTTTAAAAAAACCTTTTTAAAAAAATCAATAAAGTATATTTAAAAAAAAAAAAAGAAAAAATGTCTGATGTAACAAGCGCAGTTTTGTGACACATTAGAAAAGAAATATTTTTAATTGGATCAAATCTGAATCCATAATTAAATAGATTGTCCATTATCCTGAAGATTTCCTGAACTTCCATCAAATTAATCAGATATATAATGCATTACAGTGTATAACATGCATACACAATGCATTATGCACATATTTGGGGAAATTATGTGCTTATTTTCCTCTAAGAAAATAAAATACAGCTCAAGTTATTCAGACTGGCTCTTTTATCAAAAGCTTGTCATAATATCAAGCAAAACATTCAAGCCACTTAAACACACGTTTAACATCCTTTAAAAAGATCATGGGAGAAAAATGGTTACTCAGCAGATTCTCCTCCTGATCTTTCTCTGCGGTTTCTGTCTATAACAGCGCAATAGCTAGTAGTAGAATTCCAAATGTATTTTGAATGTATTGTTTCCAATTCTAAATGTTTAGTAAGAGGCTGTCCTGTGCAAAATGTAACTAACAATGATGTATATCCCATTGGAAAATGGCTAGGTAAACCTAGCCTTGATATGTAGGTATTATTACAACCTTCCAACAATCAGCATGTAACCTTCAGAATAGTCAACATTGCCTGTGCTGAGAATTGTAGGAGTTGAAGTCTAACATTTAGATTGTGTTCAGGTTGGGAAAACTACCTTAGAAGCCATGTTGTGGTAGTCAGAACTTGGATCTTTGAATTTGAATTCTTCTATTGGTCTATTGTTGCTTATTAGCTACTGTTTTAGCTGGTGTATGAGCATACCTATGAAAGTTTCTTCAGCTCTTCAAGTTCCATGAGTCTGCTTTGATGGTTGTTGTTTGTTACTACTCAGGAAGTGCAGAATCTGGCTTCTCCCATTGACTTTGTTGGAGGCCAGGTGGGAAGATTGCAAATGGAGATCACATGCGCACAGGACACTGCACCTGGTGATTACCAAGTACCCAAATTTTGATAATCTAACCATGGGGATGCTGCGAAGGTCATTAGTGTAAGGACTGGTTGTAAGCCACTTTTTCAGTGCCGTTGTAACTTTGAATAGTTGCTAACAAATGGTTGTAAATTGAGGATTACTGTCGTTATAATGAGCAAACCCTGTAGAGAAAAATAAATGTAACTTTATTTAACAAAGCATGACTTTGGATGGTATACAACACATAAAAATTAAAACACCTGATAAAACATGAAGTTAAAAACAAAAGAATAAAAAATTATAAGATAGTGGGAGATACAACCATCACTTAGCATTAAACAACCATCTTTCTGGCTCTGAAAGTGCAATCTGCTTTCCATCAATTTTGTCTTTATACGAATTAGATTACGATTTATATAAATTTCTATGCTGCCCATTTACAAGGTGATTCTGGGTGGCTATACTAGAGAGGGGTTGAACTTAATCTATCCAGGTATCTCAGCAAGATGTCAATTTATACTCAAATGTTTTAAGGGGCACTATATCAAAATTTGGGATGTGTCACATGGTTATTATAGGTAGTCCTTGATTTAGGGCCACAACTGAACCCAAAACCTCTGTTGCTAAGCAAGGGAGTTATTGAGTTTTGTCCCATTTTATAATCTTTCTTGTCACAGTTGTTAAATGAACCACTGCAATTGTTAAATTAGTAACATACCTGTGTTTCTCCAAAAAGAAGGCCAGATCTTATTTTCTTTTGACCTCCGAAAAAACGGCCCGGCCTTCTTTTTGGAGGGTTCTAATTATTGACTTACCTTGCGGCGGTGGCACTGGCAGACCCACCCAGCAGGAGCCCGCTGCTGGCTCACTTCTTCTGCGACTGCTTGCCGCCACTCGCACGCATTGCCCTGGCCTCCATTTTGCCTTCAAATGCCTGCTGGAAAGCATCTGCAGCCGATAACAGAGCTCCAGATCCTGAGCTCTGTTATTGGCTGCAGATGCCTTCCGGCAGGCATCTGAAAGCAAAACGGAAGCCAGGGAGGTGTGTGCAAGTGGCGGCAAGCGGCCACAGAAGGCGAAGCAGGTGTCGGGCTGTGCAAGGCCTTGTAAGTAGGGCAGCTCCATCCCCCCATCCCCACCCTAGCTTATTTTTTATCTGGGTGCCTCGCCCCACTCCCTGCACCCCAGGGTGAGCGGGGTCTTAATTAGGGCTAATTTTGTTGGTGGGGCTTAATTTGATCGCATGCGCTCAAAAACGTGATAGGGCTTCTTTTCAAGGTGGGTCGTCTTTTTGGAGAAACACGGTAATTGTTAAGTGAATCTGGCTTCCTCATAAGTTTGCTTGTCATATTGCAAAAGGTGATTACATGCCCCTGAGACACTGCACAGTTAAAAATACATGCAAGTCACAAAACATCAAATTTTGATCATATCACTATGGAAATGCTGCAAAGGTCATGTGAAAAATGATTAGAAATCACTTTTTTCAGTGCTTTTGTAACTTCATTTACTAAACAAATGGTTATTAAGTCGAGAACTACCTATAGTCCAAACCTATCCAGTTTCCTCCAGAAGTGTTTGAAATATAGTCATGTTATCTCAGAACTGAAGACCAACATACGTGAAAGACATCAGATCATGAAGTTACCACAGAAGTTTCTACTACAGTAAAATTCTTTGCTTTTAAGGTCCCATTAAACTTTCTCTTTTGTTTGAATATGCTTCTCAAAACTCATTATCATGATAACCATTATTTATTGATTTGAGTGAAACTCAGTGGTATATATAAATAATCCTATTAGAACATTTGTACTAAGGTAATTCAGAAAAAGAAACACAATTATGTATTTATTTCAGTATTTTAATCTTGTCTGCTTTTTCACGTAACTACTCCCCTCCAACAACTAAGAATTGGTTGATTATAAAGTCAAGCTGCATCATGTCACTACAACATATCAATCTACATGGTTCAGGATGGATACAGGACAGAAATTAAATTCAATTTTCCAGAGATGGGAGACTGGAGCATGTATTTGCAAACTGCTCCAATCTATGCTCCTCATTACCACTTTGATGGACTAATGTCATTAGTTAGCCCAGTTGTTCTGTCCATGTCAGCCTTGCTAAATCACCAGACTGTCTCCTATTAAACCATTGTCACAGATCTATACAATGCTCTCTATTTTAACCGGAGAGAGGGAAATGAATAATTCCATTGACTGAGTAGCAGATTTTCCCCTAAGCTTTTAATTTATCACCATAGACTGAACTCACATTATTGTTTCACATATTTTAAGCTTTAAAATTGTCACATACTGTACACTATATTTTCACATATCACTCATCTGACACTAGCCTTTAAATACAACTTTCTGATGTTTATTTTTCCCCTGTGTATATTTAGCTGTAAAGTGATAACTAGAAATGTATTTGGAACTATCTGACAGATATTGTAATCCTACAAACCTCAGTGGGACTCATCTCTTCAAAGATGCTATTTCATATCAGTTATTTAACACTTTGGGACATGATTAAGTATGAATGAAATATGCCAGGTCCCAACTGAGCAAAGCTGGTTGTAAAAGTGGGAGGAGGAGGGGACAGATTACATTTCTAATTGTCAAGAAATCACTCTGGCTCCTTTGTATGCCCCAGAATGCATATTTTTTATTATGGGGATGTAGGACTTTTAATTATGGGGACATAAATAATTTTTACTATAGCTCAAAGCACTGGAAAAAGAAGCCACATGTATAAATTATCAGGATTAATTTCAATTAAATTACAAAGGTGCTGAACAACTGGGAACTATCACCGGTCCTCATAGTTCCTGTCTTCCCAATACCCTTGGGTCACATGATTGTAATTTATGATCTTTCTTGCTGACATCCCAAAAAGTCAATAGAAAGCTGACAGGGAAGGTTGCAAGTTGCTCTGGTAAGCACTTGAGAAAGGAGTCAAGGAGGCTATCTGTGTTAAAATTGAACAGCCCTCTTTCAACAGAGGGGGATGGATACAATGCCATCCTTTTAGCAGTTTCTTCTATATCCATATCCATTGATTTAGATGACTCTGAGGATACAGATAAACCCCCAAGTGATCTCAGAGAGCTAATGATCAACTCTCAGAGTGCTAATGGCAGATGGCTGTGAAGAATAAAAATCCTTCCATTTCCACATCAGTCAGTTAGAGCTCTAGTAAGTTGCTCGCATCGTCTGCCACCTGGCAAAACACACTTCTGCCCCTGCTGCACTTGGGCCATCTACCTGCCTTCTTGTGGGCTGCCTGGGATTTACTTAATCTAGGATGCTTGCTTAACGATGGCAACCTGAAGTGCCTGGTATCATTGCTAAGAGATGCAGTCATGTGACATCACATATTATAATCATATCACTTAGCAATGGAAATTCTGGTTCCCAATTACCAGTATTACCCAAGGATTGCCTGTATTTAAAATGCACTTTGTATATTTTAGATTAAGTGCTAACTTATTAAATACTAAAATTAAATACTAATATTTAACTATTGGAGGAAGGTAACTTTCATGGGTTTAAAATGGAAATTACCTGATCAAGGAATTAATTCTACAATGAAAAACAGATTCAGTCTAACTGGGCTATCATTTGTTATGTTAATTGGCTTTAATATTTATTTATATTCTGCCTTTATTTTTACAAATGACTCAAGGTAGTGAACATATCTAATACACCTTCCTCCTCCTATTCCCCCCCCCACTCAAAAAAACCAAACTTTTGAGTTGAGTTGGGCTGAATGACTCGCCCAAAGTTACCCAGCCAGCTTTCATGGCTAAAGCAGGACTTGAACTCATTGTCTCGTTTTCATGCATAGACAGGTTGCTTTGAACCAAAGTATTTAATACGGGGGTTTAAAATATGTGCATATCTTTTCAAATATTATATATTTATTCACAGATACCTAGTCATATTTCTCCTTTTTTAAATCCTTATTTGCTCATAATTTTGGTCAACTCCGTGCTGCATCTGTTCCTGAGGTTATTTTTACTTTTTGTTTGTTTGTAAAAATAAAGAAACAATTGTTTTATATTTTTATAGTTCTACTGAATTGTTGAAAGCCATTGAGTCACCTTCTGTGAGATTGGCAGCTATATAAATATGATTTATAAATAAAAAATAAATTGTGGGAGCTGGTTACCTGAAAGACTTATGAAGCCTAAGAAAATGTATATTTGAGTCCAGTCCATCATGGAACCATATTAAATGCTTCAGGGCTGGTCACTATCTCACAAAAATTTTATTTTGGGAAAAGCCAAAAGGAGCCATGCTTGATACTGTTGACTTCAGCTCCTGGAGAACAAAAGATGGTACAAAATTAATGGAAAAAAAAAAATCTCACCCCAGCCAATTACTGTCCTGATTGCTACCTTACAAAAAGATAGATTTACACAACATGGGAAACTTGTGTGTATAGGTAATCCTCGAATTATGACCACAACAAACTTCTGTTGCTAAAGCAAGACAGGTGTTGAGAGTGTTGTCCCTTTCATGACCTTTCTTGCTACAGTTTGTTAAGTGAATCATGGCAGTTGCTAAGTTAGCACAACAGCTGTTAAGCAAATCTGGCTTCCTCATTGACTTTGCTTATCAGAAGTTCGCAAAAGGGGAATCACATGACCCAGGGACACTTCATACATATGAACCAGTTGCCAATCATCTCAATTTTGATCAGGAGACTATGAGGATGTTGCAAACGGTCGCACGTATCACCATAAGTCCCTTTTTCCAGTGCTGTTATATAACTTTTGAATGGTCACTAAACGAATGGTTGTAAGTTGAGGACTACCTATAGAGTTAAGAAGATGGACCCGTCAACTGTTATTTCGATATGTGATGGTTTGGATCCCCAGCTTGCCAAGCCAAGAAGAGCCTTGGTGGCGCAGCAGACTAAAGCACTGTTAAGTAACACCAATTGCCTGCAATTACTGCAAGTTCAAATCTCACCAGGCTCAAGGTTGACTCAGCCTTCCATCCTTTCGAGGTAGGTAAAATGAGGACCCGGATTATGGGGGCAATATAAAAAAGAACACCGCTTAGGGGGGCCCGAAAGCCCTACTAAGCAGGTATATACAAAAGTATGAAGGCTATTGCTTAACGCATTGTAAGCCGCCCTGAGTCTCCGGAGAAGGGCGGCATATAAATCGAACCAATCAATCAATCAATAAAGGAAAGGATGGGTCTTCTACCACTGGCTGAAGCAGAAACTCCTAATCCAGCCCAGAGTTCAGCGGTAGGAAGGGGGGGGAAGAAAGGGGGCAAAAGGATGCCTCATCCACTTCAGACGTCTGAATCTGGATGACACGCGTTCATTTCATACCTGAAAAACCAGCAATTGCTGCTTTTCTTTCTTTCTTTCTTTCTTTCTTTCTTTCTTTCTTTCTTTCTTTCTTCTTTCTTTCCTTTTCTTTTCTTTCTTTTTTCTTTTTCTTTTAATCCACCCCACTCCCCGATCAATTATCACCTATTTAACCCGTCTAAGGCAGGGGGAGCCCCACGCGTCCCAGAGCTTCCACGAAATGACGTTGGCACATCTGCCGCACGGGAGCCGTCAAGGGAGTGGAAGAGTGGGCGATCCTGGCCCTTTTACCCAGCAGGTCAGCCCGTTTTCCCCCGTTTGGCTTCGTCCGGTCTTCCCGCCCGCTTGGCAGCAAGCAAGGCAACCGACCTTCCCACCCACTTGAACCGGAACCGTTTTTGCAAAAGGCAGCCCGGAGGTTTTCTGCTGCTGCTGCTGCTGCTCTTGCTTTTGCTGCTGCTGCTGCTGCCTCCGGGGAAGGAAGAACCTCTCCGGGTCTGCTGTTGCTGCTGCTGCTGCTCCTTCTCCTCCTCCTCTTCTTCCCCCCTTTCCTGCAGGCCACTAGCTGGAAGCTACCAGTCCCGGCCAGCTGAGAAGATTTAAAGCAGCCGGCCATGGCGCTAAGACTGCACCCGCCTCCTCCTCTTCCTCTTCCTCAACATCAGCACGAAGAGCTCGCACGACGGCCGATTTAACCCAGTTTTGCAGCAGTGCATGCCACTGCCAGTGCAGGAGGTTGTATGAGCCTCCGGACACGGCACAGGCAGAGCAGCGGGGCCAGTGGGAACCAGAGTCACTGTACACACCGCCGCCGCCCCCTCCTCCTCCTCCTCCACCTCCTCCTCTCCCACCACCAGCGGTGGTGCTGGTTCTTCAACCCGTTTATGGTTTCACACCATACCAGCCGCTGGTAACTCCCGCCGCCGCTGCTGCTGCTCCTGCCACCGCCACCACCGCCTTCGTTCCCGTCTGGCTTCTCTTCCCCGTCCCGCCTCCTCCGGTCCTGTTCTTCTACCCCTCCTGGGTACAGCTTCTCTCGCCTGCCTGCCCGGTCCCGGCGGCAGAGAACATGGGGAACGTGACCTCTTGCTGCGTCTCGTCCAGCCCCAAACTGCGGAGGAATGCCCATTCACGGCTGGAATCGTACCGGCCCGATACCGAGCTGAGCCGAGACGACACGGGTTGCAACCTGCAGCATATCAGCGACCGGGAGAATATCGACGGTAAGACGCGAGTCTGGAGAACGTACGGATACGCTGACGCGGGTGGGAGAAGATCGCCGGCGGCTTACGCAAGCCCAAGATAGGGAAGGAACAGTTGGGGTGGGTGTTGTTGGGAGGGCGGGGGGGAGAGGGTGAAGAAACACTAGTTTGATCCTCCCGCGCTGGTGTTGCTTTAGCTTTTTTTCTTTTCCCCCCTCTCTTTCTCTCCCTCCCCCCCCAATTGAAAATTAAGCATCAACTATAGGACGATAGGTGTGGTAACAGTGCCTCTGGGCATATGCAGTTTGCACTTGCAGTGTGAGAAAGCGGGCCTCAGTCAGAACCATATTTGGGGATTTTGTAGCTCTCGGGCAGTGGTGACATGAATGGTTTCCACTTGGGGAGTAGTAGTAGTAGTGGGGTTCCCTCTTGGTCCCAGACTCAGGCACCCCAAAAGTGAGTGAGTAGGTTGGAAAACCAAAGCAGTTGTTTTGAAGGACTTTGTGGGAGCAACTCAAACTTTAATCCCTTAGCTGAACTTGGAGGTCTTTCCCATTTTTCTGGCTGTCCCAAGAAAGGCTGGCTAATCCTTTCTTCAGAAGGGTCCATAGAAGTTCACCATCTATGACGCAAAAGAGTCTTTTTTTTATAGGAAAACATCTGGCTGAAATGAAGATTCAAATGTTTTAAATAAATAAATAAATGATTGGGGGTTGGAATGAAGATTCTGCCTCTTATCTGTTTAACCCTATATGTAAAGAGCCAGTTTAAGGCACCAGAAAGCAAGAGGCTCCGAGTTCAAGTCCTACCTTATCCATGAAAGGCAGCTTGGAGTCAGTGTCAGCCAACCAGCCAACCTCGCAAGGTTGTTGTGGGAAAATAGGAGGAGGAATGGATATGTTTGCTGCCTTGAGTTAATTTGTGAAAATAATACATACATACATACATACATACATACATACATACATACGTGTGTTTTAAATAAACGGCAGGCTGAAATAAAGAATCTGTCCCAAGCCTGTCAGTCTTTAAAAGGGAAGCCATGTCAATTATTTTTGTTGTTAGTTGCGAAGTCGTGTCCGACCCATCGCGACCCCATGGACAATGTTCCTCCAAGCCTTCCTGTCCTCTACCATCCTCTGGAGTTTTATTTCATAGCTAAATAATCCATACATGTTCCTTTAGCTCCATTTGCATTCTAACAGAGCGATATGGGAAAATGGTGGGTGAAGTAATCTCACAGCCACAGGTGGTTTTTCACTGTGTTCCTCTGGAGTAAAGGATTGGACCATAATATCCCTCCTTACGTCCATCAAACCATATTTCTTCTAGATGTGAAAAGTATTTGACAGGAGATTCTTAATCCCATAGAATTATTCTTCCCTTTTGCTGTCTGGGCATTTGGCGTTATAACACTGAGGAATGCCAGTTTCTGGAATGGAGTAACAGATTTCTTCTGGTGGTGTTTGTAAGGGCAAAGGGCTCAAAAAAGTCAAGATGGTGGCTGGAAATGGTACCCTTTTTTATAGATGTCATGTGAGGAGCATGTCAGAAGGGGCATGGTTTTGGTTGTGATGGCCATCTTGACTTATTTGCCTCTCACTCCCCTCAGCACTGCAGTTCCTCCTAATCCATTTAATTTGTAGTCTTAATTAATTTGAAGCCTTATCCTTGAATGTTAGTTGAAAACAGAGGGAAATCTCATTTACCTGTCAAATCAAATGAATGCATTGGTTAACTGAAATGCAATTCTTAGTCTCTTTTTTACCCCTGCCTTTAAATAAACATTGGTTGCTGTTCCATATTATAACCAGATATTTAAATGAGTATAGCTTAATTGGGAATACGACATACATTTTTTCCTTAAATAATGTGTAGAATTTGATCCAGTTGAAGTCTTACTTATGTTTCCTTCAGTATCCCACAGTATTTAGTAGTATTTATTCCTAGATGTTTATGTTAGGATTATATACTAAAGATCCAGTGTTTTAGCTTCAGTGGTTAATCTTATATTACAGTAATTCTTACTTTTTATGATTATTAATATAGAAAAAGGGATTGTTGCCTGTACAGGTAGTCCTTGACTTATAATCATTTGTTTAGAGACTGTTTGACGTTACAGTGGCACCAGGGGCGGGTTTCAAAACCCATTGCTACCAGTTTGCTCATGGATGCGCGCGCGCTTGTGCATGTGAGCAATGCTTTTGCGCATGCGCAGAAGCGTCCGAGCAGGTGGGTGGAGCCTCCTGGCTGCTACTGGTTCGCCCGATCTGGGGTGAACCGGTAGCAACCCACCACTGGGTGGCACTGAAAAACGTGACATGACCATTTTTTACACTTATAACCATTGCGGTATCTCCCTGTCATTGTGATCAAAATTTGGATGCTTGACAACTGGTTCATATTTATGACATCCTGGGGCCAGGATGTGATCAGTTTTTGATACCTTGTGACAAGCAATGTCAGTGGGGATGCCAGATTCACTTAAAAATTATGTTATTAACATAATGACTGCAATGATTCATTTAACAACTATGTCAAGAATGGTCGTAAAATGGGGCAAAATTCACTTAACTGTCTTGCTTAGCAACAGAAGATTTGGGTTAAAATGTGATCGTAAGTTGAGGACTACCTATACAGTATTTATTTTTGGAGTAAAGTGATTATTATGAAAATGTTTGTCTGTGTGCATGTAAAATAATCCAAATTCTTTTGGATTTGTCATTTTGGTAATTTTGTAAACCTGGATTTGATACCTTGTTCCATCACTGGATGTTTTTAAGAAGAGATTGGACAGCTATTTGTCTAGAATGGTATAACATAAGCCGAGGGTTAGACTAGAAGTCCTCTAAGGCTCCTTCCAACATTATTTAGTCTATATTCTAAAAGCTACAGCAAAAGAAAGATTTGGCCTGGCCTCTCTACCAGTGCATTAATTATTGTAGTTGCTTTACATATAAAATTATTAGTAGACAGTGCTGCTGTAATGGCATAGTAATGTTAAGGAATATCCTGTAATATGTAAGAAGACTTTTAAGATATCACTAACCCTAACCGACCCTAATCTTGGCTGTTGCTGATCATGATAAGTTTCTTTTTTCTTTTCAAATGGAAACTTGGTTTTTGGTGTTTATCAAATCAGCTAAAGGGCACTTTTGTTTCTCAAAGAGGCACAGTGGTGCACAGTACTTTAGTCAGAACATTAAATAACTGAGTCAGAGATGAAAGCTTTGGTACAGAATGTAATATAATTCTTAGGGACAGTTGACATGGAAATCCATGGCCAATTATGGCATTTTTTTCTCTTTATGAGTGATGTTTTCCACTATTAACAACTGTTATGTTGACTTTACTAAATGGTTATGCTGTGGCTCCATATTAGGGTGATTTTATTATGGTTTCATCTTAATTTAATAGTTTTTCTCTCTACATACATACATACATACAATCTATCTATATCTACCATGTTTCCCCGAAAATAAGATCATGTCTTCTATTTTTTTGAACCCTGAAATAAGCACTTGGCTTTATTGTCATGCACTCAAAAGCCCGATTGGGCTTATAATCAGGGGATGTCTTATTTTGGGGAAAACAGGGCATCTATCTATCTATCTATCTATCTATCTATCTATCTATCTATCTATCTATCTATCTATCTCTATTTATCTATCATCTATCATCCATCTATTTATCATCTATCATCTATCTTTATCTATCTATCTATCTATCTATCCATCCATCCATCCACCCACCCACCCATATACAAACATATTCTGACACTTTATTTAAACTAAACTTGAATATCAGTGATTGCATGACTTCTGTAGGTGCCATAGACTAAATAAACTACTTATGCTAACTGAATTTCAAGTTTTTGCAAACAGCAACTATTGTATGAACTTCATTTGTTAGGTTCTTAATGCTGCTAAAAAAAAATTACTTCTTAATTGGTGTTGTCTGATGGAAAGTAAGTAAAACTGGGTGTAGAAATTTTAAGATGTGTAAATGCTGGTAAGGAGCTTCTCCTATCCATGAACATCCTGAAGGTGGATAAGGGAGCAAGTGAAAAAATGTATGAAAACTCTATATCGACTCCTTTCGTACTAATGTCATGATGCACATGTTGTCATTTTGAATCTTTATGGCTAGCTGTGGACACCTGTGCAATGGATTGTTGTAGGTCAGGAGTCTCCAAACTTGGCAATGTTAAACTTGGGGACTTCAACTCTCGGAACTCCCCAGTCAGCATTTTTGGAGACCCCTATTGTAGGTGGTGAATGTTTACCGTAAAAAATAAAAATGACTTTCTATAAAAACATTTTTGCCCACTTTGCCACAAGGAAATGAAATTTGGGTATGTCAAGAGAAATGGAAATAGAATGCAATAGAATTGGAAAGCTTAAGAAGTATGCACAGTAAAATAAGAGATGAAATAGATATTGAAGGTAAGAGACTAGACAGTCACGTATCTGAAAGGTCCTCCTGTTTGAGCAGCGGGGCTGGACTAGAAGACCTCCAAGGTCCCTTCCAGCTCTATTCTGTTCTAATGTTTGAATGGATATGGATTGAGTTCAAGCATGCTGTACACTGAGAAAAAAAACAAACATGTTGAGGTGGTTGGTGTTTGACCCTAGTGAATTAGGGTCAAATAGTAAAGCAAACATATGAAGGAAGACTGAATGGGCTGAGAAGACCAAGAAACTGTTAGAAAGAAGCAAAAAGGTTAAAGAACCAAAGATGTGACATGAAGCAGTGCATGGATGTAGCAGAAAGGAGGACAGTCTGGAACACTAGAAAGGCATAAATGCTATAACGAAAGGTGTTGATGTGAAATAGATTCAGCTACTTTTTCCTTTTTTTAAAAAAAATACCATGTCTTTAATTTATCTTCTTGTTTCTTTCCTACACCTGGCATAATGTTGTGTACCCTGAAAGAGAACAGCATAATGGACAAATAAATATGTTTAGTTACTTACAGCTGGGAGGCATTCCATAAGCATAGCTCTTAAATCCTGGCTATC